GGGGTCGGTCCAGGTTAATCATTTGGGAGTTTGGCCGCACGTCGGCTTTGATTAGGCTTCGGACACGTGACGGGAGGCTCCTGGGCCAATCAGGGCGAGAGGCGATGCATATAAAGCAGGCACGGAGGGCCGGCGGGGTACCTGCGGCAGGATCGGGCCCCTGCGCTCCCCTGGCTGCCTGGAGGGACGGCGGCTCTGCTCGCCCGAGAGGTGAGGACCGGGCCCGGGGACTGTCCCCCAGCTCCGGGACAGAGCCCTCCGCCTGGAGGGTGGGGAGGGGTCCAGGAGCTCTTCCTTGACAGCTTTCCCAGGGGACCCCCACAGGCTGGAAACCCGTGGGATGCCCTCTTTGGCGGTGGCCCCATAGTTTGCCAGACAGCTCACAGCATCCTTCCCTGAGCTGCCGGTTTCTGGAAGAGCCGGGGCCCCTGGAGGCTTACACTGGCGGATCCTTGCCCCAGGACCCTCTGCCCAGGGCCCACTGCCCCAGGCAGCTTGGCTCTGCAGACGTGGGCTAGGAGGGGGGTCCCGGCTCCAAGCTGGGCTGCCCCGTGGGGCTGGCTCTCCCTGCTCGAGCAGGGCTGAAATGCCCCTTCCCTAACTGAAACAGGGACCCTGGCAGCCCCATAGCGCTCCTTGCTACCAAAGGACCTGCTGCATTTGAAGCCAAGGTGATCCCATGGGACCCGGGTGCCCTGAGTCCCGGAGGGGAGCAGCACAGTGGGCTCTAGTGCCTTCAAACCAGGGGAAGGTGGGATGTCAGACCCAATCTTTTTCTACCTGTGGCTCAGGGTTTACCTGAGGGATTTCTGCCAGAGCTGGGAGCAGCGTGCCCCCCACCTACCAACCCCAAAGGGCAGTGCAGGGTCCTGCTCTTCCCTCTCCAGAAATGCGTTGACACATCAGAGCTGTTTAGACATCCCTGAACTGAACCCACTGGCTCTGGGGACATGCATTGGGAAAAGGTCTTTGCTCTTTCCAGCCCTTTTGGTTACCAGTGATGGAGCATTAGAGACCAGTGTCCCACTACAGCACTTGCTAGCTTTCTTGGTCATCTATCTTTTGTAAGAGTTGTGATAATCTAAACAAAACCCCTGCTTGCTTTGTTTAATTTGCTGGTAAGCGATGGCTCAGTGCAAGCAACCAGATGACTCAAACCAGGACAATTCAACTCTTCTATAGTCTCTTGAAAAGACTTTAGAGCAGGAAAGAGAATTTCTCTACTTAAAAGAGCACGTTTCTTATCCCTGGCATGCAGAGAAAAAGCCATATGACCTATTCCTTTCGCTCTTGGCTGCACTGCTTTTATTGTCCGCAAGTGCAAGCTGCACTAGTGCCTTTAGGAAGATACTTAAATCTGGCAGGCCAATCAGGAGAGGGTGACAAGGGAATATTGCTTCATCTTCTAATGACTTTTTGGTGAAGACAAATGCGAGACTGTTTTGATTTGGACATAAGTATCCTCTGCTCACGACGTAGGGGAATATTTCTCAGTGCTGAAGTATGCAGAGGTGCTGAAGCGCAGAAAAGCAATGCAGCAACTACAGATTGCCTGTGCGGTCCCTACTAAATAAGTGTCTCAAAACTGCAGATGCTTCCTAGACCTTCCTCCTCCAAAATATGTGTGTGGGTTTTTTTCTTTTTTGTTTTTTTTGATATTAAGGTTTCTAAACGCCAGTGGCAACGAAGGCTGCAATGTCGCTGGGGGGAAGCCAAGGCATTATCTCGGCCACCGAGATCCTCATTGTGGCTGCTGTCTTCTGCCTGGTCTTCCTGCTCATCCAGTCCTTCAGGCAGCACGTCCCCAAGGGGCTGAAGAGACCCCCAGGACCAAGAGGCTACCCCATCCTCGGCAACGTGCTGGAGCTGAGGAAGGACCCGCACCTGGCCCTGACCAAGCTGAGCCAGAAGTATGGGGACGTGATGGAGATCAGGATCGGCAGC